TGGAGGTGGCGGCGGAGCCGGAGGAGGTTTCGGCGGCGGTGGAGGTGCCGGTGGAGGGGTTGGCGGCGGAGCAGGCGGTGGGTTTGGCGGAGGCGCTGGTGGAGGTCTTGGAGGAGGCGGCGGTGTTGGTGGAGGAGGAGGGTTCGGCGGCGGTGGAGGAGTTGGTGGAGGAGCTGGATTCGGCGGCGGTGGAGGGTTTGGAGGCGGCGGCGGTTTCGGCGGCGGACACCACTGAGCTGTTTGCTAAGACCCAAAGCCATGCACGTTGCCATAATTAAAATAGAAGACAAAAAAAAAAAAAGCCATGCATCGTAAGATTAAAGATTTATTTGGTGGAAACACCGATTTGATTAAGAGAAAATCGCTAATAATAAAAATAGAGGTGAAATGTATGTCGTTTCTTTATAATCCAAGTCGCATTGTACGCTGTTTCGTTTATAGGTGACTGAACTGTGTGTCAGTCTCTCTGTTTGGAGCTTTTTCTAAGTGGTCGTGCGTGGTATATTTAATGTATGGTTGTTTATCATTATTTTCAACCTCTTTACATCCATTGTAATGGGTTTACTCTTATATACGCAATAAAATAATGTTATGCTGCAAATTAAATTATTTCCACTCAATACATTACATACCGATTACCAGGATTGGACATCTTTAGAACATTATGTTCTTTATTATCTTCTCTCTTTAATACCACAAGAAAACTAGATTTTATTTATTAATTCATTATATCAAGACAGATTTTGGAAAATGTTTTTTTAATTACCTATATACAAATTTATATACATTCATCCATTCGACACGATTCGGCAAATCAGAGAAAACGAAAAATATTGGAGAAGCTTCATGGGCTGAAACCGCGTAAACAGTCGAGGCATTTTCTTTGCATATAACCATTCTAAGGAGAGAGATCCACGCACGGCCGGAAAACATCCCCCGTTTCACCGGCGGCAGGGGCAGAACAGTAATTTCACAAAAATTCCCGCGGGTTTTGCCCCGTGAGAAAGGGAACGGAGCAAATAAAAGTCCCAGAAACAAACAGTCCCTTTTTTTTTCTCCCCTTTCGGGTTCACCGTCTTGGACAGATGCCCAAGTTACAGCCATGGCGGAGAGACCGTCAAGTCACCGAGGACTTGCAAACGGGGCACAACTTGCTCCTCCCGAGCCATGGATCGATACACTGCTCCAAATAAAACGGTTTCGATCACACGAGAAACAGCGAGATTACACGAATAAGAACGTTTTCAGAAGATTCTTGGAAGGTTCTAAGAAAAGATCCTTACATCTCTGTGGAATTTGTGAAAGCAAGGGAGATGGCGAATGACATCTCCTGTCGTCGGGGTCTCGAGGCAGATAGCACACGTCTCTCCATAGTTGTCGGTCTGAATCATCACCAAAAGGAGAGATCAATGACAAAAAAAACAGACAAACTGACGGGTAGAAACAGGAAGACTTACTTGTACTGTCGATTGAGGCAAGCTGTCGATCAGATTGGCAGAAGCACCAGCACGTCGGTTCGTGTGGTTGTTCTCGTCGAGGGATAACAACATTTCGTAGTCGTCTCTGTGTTTAAAGGAGAGAGTAAAACACGATCATTTTCACAGTTGCGGTATCAAAATGCCAAAAGGGCGTGACTTTGGGGATGAAAAAAGAAAGAAAAAGAGTCGTACTCGTTAAAATCGCGATCAAGCCGCTGAAGCATGGCACTGTTCATGGAAGTGCCGAGTCGACTGATAGCAGCCTCTATTTCCTCCAAAATATCCAACCTCTGCATAATGACGAGCTTAACTTTAGTATTAGGGGTCATTTCACGATTCAAACAGAAGAGGTATTCTGCTTCAAGGTTAATGGAGGATACCGAATCTAGGGCCATTCCATTTGGAAACCGGAGATTAAGAGCTCTTGACAATGCGGCAGGTGGAGGGTCTGAACGGTAACCCCTTGCCCGTGTCGTTCTGACAGAAGCACGAGGCTGCAGGATATTAGGTCCCCTGCTCGAAGAACTCTGCTGAAAAATTGCCCGCAAGCGACTTCTACCACGTGCCACCGAGGGAATCTTCAGAGGGGAAAAAACGTGAATAAAAACAACAAACAAATCCAGAGACAGTTTCTTTCGGTTTGTAAATGTCGATTCTTCATGCACGTTAGTGTTCATGACTTACAGGCAAGTTACGACTTGAAGAATCATGGACTAAATTTTCTTCCTCTTGCAGCATCCAGGCTAGGCTTTCGTTAATCTGAAATGACGTGCAAAGTCGAAGGCAGACCACTAGAAACCATCAAGAAATAGACGATGCAACACAGAGAGCATGAAAGAAAACAAGAATCAACAGATCAACCTCTTCATCCCCAAAAAATCGGGATTCCTGGTACAACTGTTCTTGGAGTTCAAGTGCCAACCTCTCATCTGCTTCGATCTGCCTTGCCCTCTCACCACCAGATTCATCATTTTCAACAACACGTCCAGTGCCCTGATGGTTACTAAACCGCATTTCAGAAGAAGAATCATCTTCAATTTCCAAAACCAGATTTTGTGTGCCTTGTCTCTGGATTCTTGCTGGTCTTGAACTGGAAGCTTCACCAGGAGTTCCAACAATTGAGATTTCTTTCTCGTAAGGTAACACATTCCTCCGTCGTCGTTTATTGCCTTCCCGCTCAACCTCAATGATTTCATGTTGTTTAACCCTAGAGGCAAACCTGAAACTTCTCCGTGAATCATTCTCGCCCTTACAGTTGTTTTGATGATGTCGGCCATTATCATGTACAACACTGGAATGAGAACAACCCATTGTCATTTGCCGGTTCCGTGTACTTCTCCATCCCTCTGACCCACCCGCGATATCTCCATTGATCCTGTCAATATAGTAATTTTTTTAGTACAAAATTATGGGAAAGCCACTCATAAGCTAAGCAATAAGAGCAACAGACATGTTACCCGGTTGGTAAATCCAAAGCTTTTGCAGCATTTTCTTTCGACGTTTGCCTGTGACCAATCGCTTTTTTCCCTTTAGCTCTGCCACGAATATCATCATCAGCAACGATCTCTCTAATGTCAACTGAAGATAGATCATCAGAAGCAGTTTTCTCTTCACCGCTTCGGTCACTAATGTCACCATTGGAGCTGGTCTGATGTTCCACAGCTTGTCTAGCTCTAGCTGCTATCACATGTGGAGATATGCAGCCATTTCTTACCAATCTTCTACGGCCAGATGCTCTTATAATAGGCTGAGTAGATGGAGACACGTGATCTTCCTTTCTGTGCCGAGGATCATTGGAAACGTCAATTGTACATCCATTACGTTGATTTATATTTAAAACCTGATTCTTCTGCATGGAAGCTGACGAAGTCGTAGAAAAATTACAACAGATAGATTTCCCTTTATCCTTCTCCATTGTTGTTCTCCTAAACAGAGGGGCATTTCGTGAAGCATGTGTACCATTTCTGTTCTCTGTTTGCATGTCGCAATTTTTGCGGGACTCTTCTGAATGGTGGCGATTCGGGTTCCCCACTCCAGGAACAGGCCTATCTTTACCACTAAGGCAACTACAATATTCTTTATCAATCAAGCGAAATTCTCTTGCAGCATTCTCTCTTCTGCCACCTTCCCCGCCTAAAGAACCACGTCTTGATACTCTGTCAGGAGTATCAGGTACCATCTCGATGTCCATCTCCTCCATCATGTGACAATGGACCTAAAAATCAGAAAAGAAAGACTTTCAAACATTAGCATTGCTTCTTTCCCAATAACCAGATACATTTGTGTTCATTATATACTTCTACATCCGAAACGGATGTGAATGAACGGAAATAGATATGCGTAATCTGATCAGCGTCAATTAAAGCAAGAGACGTGTATGGATGTAAAACAAGCGACACATCTCATATCAACGAGCCAATGACTTTGGTCTCTCTATGATTTAGCATAGGTATAATGCATAAACCATATTCAGCTTTTACACAAAATGATTTAGCAGGAGCCGAAACGAAACTATGACCAGACATAACTCGTGAACTAAGCTCCAATTGTAAACTACAAGCATTAACAACAAGGCAAGTAGATGTGCCACAAGAAACAAAAACATTTTGGCTGAAACCAACTACAAGGAGAGACATAGAACATTCAAGAGAACAATGACAGTGATGATGCATAGAATACAAAACACGAACAGAAAGAAAATCAAAGGATGGTCCTTTATGCAGAACGACAACATCCAAAACAGCTGTTTAACAGTGTGTGCACATAAAATACACACGTACAGACACAAAGCTCAACTACACTTGCTCCTGAGCGCATACATATGCAGAGACATGAACGAGTATACGCAGCTCCAGACGAATTTTACTTTTCCCTTAATGAAATGAAAATGAAGTTTACATTAAAAAAACTTGAAAAAAATGATCTTTCGCAACAAGAAACGAAAAGATAGAATTCAGATACGGAACGAACACCGAGAAAGTACAAAAGTCGAAAAATTCCCAGGATGCAAGAACGCTTTTTTTCCACAAAAAGATAGATTAACCCCTTTCAGGCCAAATTTTTTCAGGAAAATTGGCAACGGAAAACATTCCATAGATAATGAAGCAAGAAATTACCCCGTTAAGCGGTCGGTTCGGTCTCGAAGTTCTCATCGAAACCCTAAAATTTCGATTTCTGATGAGCAGAGAGTGTCAGGAACCTGTTCTGTTCGTCTGATCATACCTACAGATGGTTACCGGGTCGGGTTCAGGATCCGTTATATAAATGGGCCGTAATCCATGTTTTGCCCTAATGGGCCAAAATCCATTTAGTGTATTTCTTATAATGTAAATTCAATTTTATTTTTTTTCAAAATCATGAAAGGAAAATACAGTAATGATGATCAGAGACTCCAGAGTCATTTATTAGAATACAATAATAATTTATTTATTTATTTTATTATTGTTTATTTTCGCGTAATATTTACTTTGGAGCTATTTTAACGGTTAGACAAATCCAATCGCTCTTCCAGTTTCCATGTAACCTTCCCGACCGGACTTTGAACCTTCCCATTGGAGAACCAAGAAACCTTCTTTCTTCTTTGGTGTCTCTGGTCGTAAGATTCCTTTCCTCCATTTCCAAATCTCTTGCTAGATCTCTTCTTCGAACAACAACATCGTACTTCCCCTCGGGGTTTCCCGATCTGGGTTTGGTCGGATCCGATTCCTCGGAAGCAACGAATCTCGACGGCTCCTTCTGGCCTTTTTCCCGGGAGGCGAGATTCCCAGGAAAAGGAGAGAAAATTCTTTGCTTCTGTTTAGCTGGCAAGCTTCAATCTTCGCGTGCTGCTTGATCTGGTGAAGGAGTTTCCTTATTTGGTAAGCAATTGTTGGCAGGACATAGTTGCCTAGGCCGTGTTCCGTACCACGGGTTTGTCTTGGTTTCCCGAATTAGGTCTGTTTTCGGGTGTTGGATCATCAAATTTCGATTCACGGTGGTGCGTTTCGTTTCTGGCAAAGTTCCGGGATTTATCTGTTTTATGTGATAATCTACGCCTATTTTGTGCGAGTAAACACGACTGGAAGGTGGCATTTGGAAATTTCCTCGGGTTCCAGGTATTTATCTCCATTTTCAGATTAGTTTGCTCTGTCTGATAATGGATGGTCGGATTTGGGTTTTAGGGTTCATCTAATTTTGCTGAAGTTGCAAACTCTTCCCTGTTCCATATGATGCTTAGATTTGGTTCTTTGAGTGTGAGGGGATAGTTTACTAGGCGTTGGTTTTGTGGCTTTTGGAGGTTCTAAGACATGGAACAAATATTTGGATTAGACTTGTGAAGATTGGTTTCGACTTTGTTGTTAATACTCCTGAGACATGGCTACCATTGATGTCTCAAAGTACCTTCATAGCCCTGTTCACAAGGCTGTCGTCCTTAGAGATTACGCCGGTCTCAGGAGAATATTATCTGCTCTCCCACGTCTGTCTGACCCGGCTGAGATCAAAACCGAAGCAACTTCAATAGCCGAGGAGGCGAAAGCTGATTCCATAGCTGCTGTCATCGACAGGCGTGATGTTCCTAACCGGGACACGCCTCTTCATTTGGCTGTCAAACTCGGGGACAAGACCTCAGCAGAGATGCTTATGGTGGCAGGAGCGGATTGGAGCTTGCAAAATGAGCAGGGATGGAGTGCTCTCCAAGAGGCTATCTGTAGTCGAGAAGAGATGATAGCCATGACTATCGTGAGGCCCCCCCAGCCACTGGCTTGGGCAAAATGGTGTAGGAGATTGCCTCGGGTCGTGGCCACAATGCATAGAATGAGGGATTTCTACATGGAGATCACTTTCCATTTCGAGAGTTCGGTTATACCCTTCATCTCCAGAATTGCACCATCAGATACTTACAAGATTTGGAAGAGGGGTGCGAATCTTAGGGCTGATATGACTCTGGCTGGATTTGACGGTTTTAGGATTCAGCGGTCGGATCAGAGCATACTCTTTCTTGGAGATGGGTCGGAGGATGGGAGAGTCCCGCCCGGGACTCTCTGCATAATATCCCACAAGGACAAGGAGATCATGAACGCTTTAGAAGGTGCGGGTACTCCGGCATCAGAATCAGAAGTCCGTCAAGAAGTGGCTGCCATGTCCAAGACTAGTATTTTTAGACCTGGGATAGACGTTTCTCAGGCCATTCTTTTCCCACAGTTGACATGGAGGCGGCAGGAGAAAACTGAAATGGTTAGCCAATGGAAAGCTAAGGCGTACGATATGCACAATGTGGTTGTTAGTATAAAATCCAGGAGAGTGCCGGGAGCGATGACTGACGAGGAGTTCTTCTCGAACTCTGCCCAAGAAAACGAAACCGAGAGTGAGGATCTGGAAGATATCTTGACAGAAGAAGAGAAGAAACAATTAGAGTTTGCTCTCAAGTCGGGTTCTCCAGACTGTTCTAACGAGATAGCTCGACCTCGGCATAGTTTCTCACATGAAGATCGGGAGATTCCAATTGAGGATGCCAACGGTGAGATGAAACAGGAGAAGAAAGGATGGTTCAGTGGCTGGAGGAGACGAGACACGTCTAAGAACGAAGGGCACAAGCGAAATATTCCCCCTAGAAGTTCTCTTTGTGCTGATGAGAAAGTAAGCAACCTTCTTGGGGATGAAATGCAATCTGGTGGAGAACAGACAAAACCTGGAAGACATTCAGTTGAGGCTGTCGTGAGGGATGATAACCGAGTCATACGAGATTCGAAAGCATCGACATCAGATGGTGGGAATCATCAAAAGGAAGGGAGCTCCCGAGAGAACGAGTACAAGAAAGGGCTGAGACCAGTTCTTTGGCTTTCTGAAAGCTTTCCTTTACAAACAAACGAACTTCTACCATTGCTTGATATACTCGCAAACAAGGTCAAGGCAATACGCCGTTTGAGGGAGCTGCTGACTACGAAACTGCCCTCGGGGACATTTCCAGTCAAGGTAATGAATGGATGAAGTTTATCTGCATATACGAAGATACATTGTTGGATATATATATATATATATATATATATATATATATATATATATATTTTTGTTCATTTTGTCGTTTTGGTTTGGAATTTGTTTTGGCAGGTTGCTATTCCAGTTGTGCCTACAGTCAGAGTGCTTGTAACATTCACAAAGTTTGAAGAACTACAACCGGATGATGAAGACGAGTTTGTAACACCGCCATCAAGCCCAGTTTCTTCTTATTCGGTGAAGAACAGTCCTAGAGCTGTAACCCCGACCTCGAGTTCCTCCTCATGGTTCCAGTGGATGAAAACACCAAATCAGCGGCCAACAAGCTTGAGTTCCGGAAGTTGTGGTATTGGAGGTGGTAAAGCAGAAGACGATCAAGACCCCTTTGTGATTCCACAGGGTTACAAATGGATCACAGCTGAAGAGAAGAAGAAGAAGATGCAAGAGAAGAGCAAAGCTAAGAAGGGCAAGCGTCAGAACTCCTGAAAGCAGTAACTTCTCTCTCTCTCTGTCTGAAAACCCTAAATTTGCTTAGGAAGATCTACCAGACAACTCTTAGAAAGACTGAAATGAGGGGACAAGTATTCAACAAGGAAAAGAAATGTCAGCTCTCATGATTACTCAGTGTTCTTTTTCTTCTTCTTCATCATATATTCTTGAAATGATTTGTATGGCCATACGGGGATGCAAGTGTTGAAAGCATCTGTTTCTATCAAAAGGTTCCGAAAGTCTGTGTTCTTACATTGACAGTTACAGACAAGAACCGCTATGTAACCCAGATTCTTGGAACTGCTGATAAATTAATCGAATCTATCTTCTTACCGCCACCAACCCCTCTTTTATCTTGTTTCCATGCAGCATTTGTCTCACTGGATCGTACAAGCACCACAATATTTTCTTGTCCCCACATGTTGTTCTCCATCCTCTGACGCGCTTCATATTTCAATAACCGTGGATCTATGTCAGTTAACCGGAAGTAGTAATCCCCCCTCAGTACGCGCAACGCGCACACACACACACACACACACACATATATGTCCATCCATGCACACACATACATATACACATGCATATACATACACAGGTGTACATAAAGGCGAGTATATATACGTATGGATAGATACGTACCTTGGCTCAAATTCTTCAACATGAGCGATATCCTTGCCATGAGCGTCAGGCCACGTTACTTTCCGTTGAACGGAACTCGTCGCCGGACATTCCTCAGCCGCCGTCTTCTTGAGATTGCTCTTGAGACGGCACGGCTCCATCGAGACGGTGGTCCTGCCCGTTCCTCCGCCGCCGCTTCTCCTCTCCGGAGGAGCACGACGTCCTCGTCCTCCTCGGCCGCCGCAGCCATTGCCCCTGTCGAAGTATCTCTTAGCTGTATTGATGCTACTGTCGGAAAAATTCCTCGAACAAGGGCGTACAAAAGCCGTACACTTTCCTCTTGTCGACGTCGCCAGGGGGTCCAAATTATATATATGATCTTATATATATATATCGTCCCCCCGCCGCCGCTTCTCCTCTCCGGAGGAGCACGACGTCCTCGTCCTCCTCGGCCGCCGCAGCCATTGCCCCTGTCGAAGTATCTCTTAGCTGTATTGATGCTACTGTCGGAAAAATTCCTCGAACAAGGGCGTACAAAAGCCGTACACTTTCCTCTTGTCGACGTCGCCAGGGGGTCCAAATTATATATATGATCTTATATATATATATATATATATATATGTGTGTGTGTGTGTGTATAATGAACAGAAACAAGATTTGAGAAACTAAAGCTTGTAGTGTAGAATAGAGAGCTGAAAAAAAGGAAGAAGGGGAGATAATGGAAGGATGTTGGGGAAAGCGCTTATGGAGTAATCATTTTGGTTTTGCTTTATTGCAATTGGTCTAGTAGGGTTTTCTTGTTTCCCACGTTTCATATATATATGTGTGTGTGTAAATTCGATTCGAAGTATATAAAATTAAAATTTAAATAATGGAATGCGAATGATATCTCTAAAATAATTTAAAAATCCAATGGAATTAGACTTTTTTAAATAAAAAAATAAAAACAATCGAACCTGCATAAAATCAAAATCCAGAACATAATTATGCAGTTTCTTTCTGAAGCGGCGATGTGTGTATATATTATTATTATTATTAAGGTCCATTATGTTATAATAACAATAATGAATTAAAACGACATATGGAAGCGCCGGTGTCGAATGATTATGTTTCCGCTCCTCTCTCACCAACTATTTTTAACTTCATTTATTCTTTTAACCGCTCCTTTTCCGATTATATATATATATATATATGTATGTATGTATGTATGTATGTATGTATGCATATGTTCCTCTTGCATAGCTTTTTTTAGTTAATTATGGAATATATTGAAATGATTTTAAAGACATCTGATTATTCATTTTATGTTTGAATATTCTTTCATATAAAAAATAATAATTTATGACAAGAAAAAATAAAAACATGTTATCAATGGGCTTCATAAGGCAGATTAGAGATTACACATTTTTTTTTTTAATAAAAGGCTCACGTCTTACGTATTAATTGACACTATACGGCCCAATGGGCATATCTAAACAAAGAATTAAGCAGTTGATTTTTTTTTTTTTGTGATTATGAAATGATCTTAAGCTCTCTAATCACACGATCTAATCTCGAAACTTTAATTGTTTGAGACAATGATATTCGTCTAAAGTCTTTCGTCGTGGAGATCAAATTCTACGTACGTTGTGTGTTATTAAATTGAAATATAATGAAACCAAAAAAGAAGTCCAATGAAATCTAGAAACTATAGCTAGAAAGGTATTGAACAAATTGAATTGTATTTGCATTTTTATATTGACCATTTATATCTCTGTGCTTATATGATCCAATTAAAATATATATATATATATATATATATATATATATTTATTTGGCCCCCAACCAGCGTTTAATTGCCCCAAAATTTTAATAACACGGGGGGGGGGCGAAATTGAATAAATGAATACGAGTGGACCCACCTCTTAGAAAAATTAAAACGAAGTCGTACTCGGTGGAGGACACGTGTCCACATCTAATAGGATTAAGAAACGATCAGCCCGCGGTATTAGCAGATCCAATTCACCCGAACGAACCTGGACGGAAACCCGTCTCTGTTCTTCCGTCTTCACTTTCCCTTTTTATATAAACACGTAATTTCTCTCTCCTCTGCGGACGATATCCTTGCACAGTTTCCGACCAAAGAGAGACAGAGATTGGGTTCGCGAGGAAGAGATTCGTGTCAAGAGAGAGAAAGCGAGGTCTCTAGAGAGAGAGAGAGATAGAGGCGATTTCCTTAGTCTGGGTTGGTGCAACTCAGTGTTTCAGTTTGTAGAGAGAGAGAGAGAGAGAGTTCGCGATGAATCAGCGAAGGGGAGAGAGACAAAATTCGCCGGCGGCGTACAACGTTATCCTTAAGCTTCCGCAGGGAGACAGTCCTTACGTCCGAGCGAAGCATGTTCAGGTGCGTCACGATGTCTCTTTGCTTGCGGATCTCCAGAAGTTGGTCCGCAGAGTCCGTCAATTCATTCATATGCTCATTATTGCATGTCCGATACGTTTGTAACGCGAAACAAGTTATGTCTGAATGGAAATTTGCTTGAAAATGGCGGCAGTTGGTGGAGAAGGACCCAGAGGGAGCGATAGTGCTGTTTTGGAAAGCGATAAACGCGGGAGACAGAGTGGACAGCGCACTGAAAGACATGGCGTTGCTGATGAAACAGCAGAACAGAGCAGATGAAGCCATTGAAGCCATCAAGTCTTTCAGGGACAGGTGCTCCAAGCAAGCTCAAGAGTCCCTTGACAACGTCCTCATCGACCTCTACAAGGTCATCTTCCCCCCATCCCTTTCTTGATCTCACACGCATGTCCCGGTCACCTTTTTTCTGACGGATTTAGATGTGTAATTCGACAGAAATGTGGGAGGATCAAGGATCAGATAGAGCTGCTGAAACAGAAGCTGTGGATGATCTACCAAGGAGAAGCTTTCAACGGGAAGCCGACCAAGACGGCACGGTCTCACGGGAAGAAATTCCAAGTCACGGTCGAGAAGGAGACCTCTCGTGTTCTGGTAACGGCGACAACACCCTCACGTTACCGACAGATCTTTGGTTTAAACTCTGAGCTGATGTTGATGAATGCGGGATTTCGATAATGTAGGGGAATCTGGGTTGGGCATATATGCAGATGCGGAACTATACAGCGGCCGAGGTGGCTTACCGGAAAGCACAGGTGATAGAACCGGACGCGAACAAGGCCTGCAATCTGTGCACCTGCCTGATGAAACAGGGGAAACAGGAGGAGGCGAGGTCCATCCTCTGTGATGTGATTCAGGGGAACATCTCTGGATATGAAGATCCGAGATTGAGAAATCGGGTCAACGAGCTTTTGAGGGAGCTGGAGCCACCGCAGGAGGCGGTGTTCACTTCCACGGTCATGGACGGCCATGAAGGGGGGCCTGATCAGTTTGTGAAGGAATGGACCAGACCTCATAGGATGAGAAGACTTCCGATTTTCGAGGAAATCTTGCCTCTCAGAGATCAACTGGCTTGCTGATGATCTCCTTCTCCTTCTCTTGTCAGATACTCACATGTAGGAATGAACTAGTTTACTTCTTGTAAGCCTGTGGGCGGGCATCATCATATATAATACATATTACATACAAACAAACTGGAGAATATGCCCACCCACTAAGTATATCTTCAATAAAAAGGATCATTCGACAAAAAGATTACACGCTCACGAAACACAAATCCCCTAACCTACTAACCAAACCGACCAAAAGTTTTTACATCTGTTTCAAACATTGATCCATCAGGATCATTTCCAGTGTTACACGGTTGCACTAGCATGAACACTGGTAAACGAAATAAAGAAAAAGGGCATACCCATCTAACGTAGATAGAAGAATAGTGGTAGAACGAACGTGCAAATTTACCGGGGAGGAGTTCCGATCAGCGTAAGTGGCAAACTAGGTACACTTGAAGCCATGGCAAATCGACAAAACCATGATGAGGACCAAGGCAATGATGATGCCCAATACTATGAGCTTTATCTTCATGTTCTGCAGCCACATCTTTCTTCTCATCTTGGTTCCTTGTGTTCTGAAATCTTGCGCCTGTAGATATCCCATTCAATCAAAAGACATGTAACAGACTTCAATATACACAGAAACCAAAACACAGATCTATATGCAGAACCCCAGAAAAACAATTGACCAAAGAAGACTACTCACTTGCGAGCGGAGGTTCTCGGTTTTGTCCACCAAAAGCTCAATTTTCTCACCACGGTCAAGGACCTGCGTCCAGACGAATTATACAAAACACATTAGGTTTCGAGGAAGGAGAACATTAGGTCATTGGGGTGATGTAGGACACATGCAAGTCTTCAACAAGTGCCAAATTCACTAATTTTAAAAACCTGGGAAGTTCGAAATAGACACGGATAAATCATACAACAGAAAAAAGAAAGGGCCTTCTTCTGACCTTCTCGATGTTTTCCATCATAACACCCTTAACTTCGGTCACCTGGGCTTTCACCTTGGCAAGTTTGCTGATCTCCTCGGGGTGATCCACACAGTACTGCATGTGCTCCTTCAGTTTAGACCTTCAGTTTTTTTTAATAAACAAAGAGGTGAAGACAGCATTCCACAGAGATGGAAATAAGAATATCATTAAACGAACACCAATGGTGAATGGTAGAGGCTCAAAGAAGAGAAAAAGGAAAAAATTACCCAAACTCTCTGTTCAAGCTGTTGGCTTGAGCAGTTGCAGCTTTTCCTCCACCATATCTCTTGTTAAAATCCTCCTTAACTCGTTCCAGGAACGCCATTGGAATCTGCCTCCCGACGGATTCAACAGCCACAACACAATAAGCTGCACCAACAACACATAGACAAGAACATACATTACATAACAAGACAGCCATATGGACAGATATGTGAACATATATCATCACAACGAAACAAACAGCAACAACAACGTGGTCCATCTCAGAAAAAAGCAACCGGGGGATTCACAAAACAACAAGATCCAGGGAAGATCGAATCCAACCAAGACATAAAGCAACAAGTTTGATCTACATATAGCCTAATACATACATATAAACAAATGAAAACTTGCCTCGGTCATTTTCAACGAGAACCCTGAATATTCATATATGCAAAATCTAGATGTATCCGTCAAAAGAATGCATATGCATATATACAAAGATCGCACGTATCGATGAAAACGGCTCTCAAATAAATCCACTCCTAATTGAGATACATCGATCGCCAACATATAGATCGGAACAACGCTTTCTAAAACATCCGAACCGAAAATAATACACGGATCAACGCACAAACCTATCACGGGGACAAGCTCATATCAAGACGAAGACTTACTGAAGCCATTTTCAACGAGGTAATTGAACGTGTGACCATCGCAATTGTAGGTAAACTTGTTGTTCGAAGACGGAAGCTTCTGGAGGCACTGAGCGGCGACGGAGGTGAAATTGCCCTTGAACTCGGTGTACTCGACGAGGATCACCGTGCCGCGAGCGACGAAGCTGTAGATCAACGATTGTTGCCCCATCTTTTTCACCCGCAATCTGGACGAACGAAAGCCCTAACACCAGAGTCCGATCCGATCGTTTTCGATCAGAGAGATTTGTTTTCCAGTCTTCGTGTGTACGGAAGCAAATGATCTAAAATAACAAAGAACGAGGGGTTGAGAGAGAGAGAGAGAGAGAGAGAGAGAGAGAGAGAGAGAGGACGCAGCGACCGGAGGAGAAAAAAATGAAAAAATGAAACGCTGGATTTGCGCGGAGAGAGATGTATTTCTCTCGTTAATGCTTCATTAAAATAAATTTAAAATATGACGATAAAATTAATTAATTGATTGATATAATTCGTGCATTCTCATTCATTGTTACTGTTCCTTTGTTTGTCAAGAAAAGGAATTCAATGTTTTTGTTTTAATTATTAGGATTAGTTGTTGTGTTTTGCATTGACCATTTTCCCTAATTCATCTGGAAACTCAAAATTAAAGCCTAATCTTTTGAGAATTTAACATCTGCACCCTAAACTTTACAAAACTTCAATTTAATACCAAAGTTTGGAAAATTGGTGTTATATATGGGTTACCGATGTTATGATCCTTGCCAATTTAGTGAAAATTGTTATTTTGGCAATTGAATTAATCTACAATTACATGGGTTTTTTTCATCGTCTTCGTAATTCCCAGTCTAATCACGTGTACGTTAGCGAGTAACAACACTTGATACAAAACATACACACCCAACAAAAAAAAAATCTCAAACTGAGATTCCTCCGCCGCCGGTAACTTCATCCGGCGGGCTGATTGTGATCCAAAGCAGAGACACGGTGATGGAGACGAGTCCCGACCAAACCCAGACGATTGTCGGAACTCTTCCTCTCCGACCCATCAGTCCTTTCGCAAATGGGTACATGTGCACCAAAACCCAGAAGCTGAAAAACGATCCTCCCATCAGTTTGCTCCACTGAGGAATCACGCTGTAGATCGTTCTCGATGCGCCGATCACGACCGCCACCAGGTTGACTACGATGATCGTCAACGGCATGATGAACAGGCTCGTCCATTTCACTATATATAGATCGGCGTATACGTCGTCCTCGTCGTCACCTGCCGATTTCGATGTCAGGGTGAACGAGATCTCGATTCCTGCGATCACTTTCAGCAATCCCTGAATCACAGCTGCGAGGTGAGCGCTCGTGCCTCCGATTAGCCAGAACTGCTCGTTCCTCCACCATTCCTCGAGTCCGATTCCCGACCATTTCACCTCGAGGAGCGAAATCAGGGTCAGGGTTAGGGTTATGCAGAGTAGATAGATGAGGAAATGGATGTCGAGGCTCTGAACTATGAACTGGCCGGTGAAGAGGCACAGAGCAGGGAGGAAACAGTAGACGACCAAGAAGATGGAAGTGAAAGGGTAGATTCCGACGTTGAGGTAAGCGACGCGTTGGAGGAATTTGAGCCTGCGAGTGGCGAACAGGGCGTTGTTCTTGGAGAAGAAGATCTCGACGGACCCGGTGGCCCACCGCAGGACCTGGTGGAGACGGTCGGTGAGGTTGATCGGAGCGGTCCCGCGAAAGGCGTCCCGTTTGGTGATGCAGTAGACCGATCTCCAACCGCGGTTGTGCATCCTGTAGCCCGTCACCACGTCTTCAGTCACCGATCCGTAAATCCATCCGATCCGATCTCCCCACTCGGTATTATCCTCATACCTGAAACAGCGATGGCAAATCGCGACTACTAACGTCAATGTCATCGAGAAAAGGGCTCAACTTTTCAGCTGAAAGGATCATGTCAAAACGCAAACTGCAAACGCTGATATCTAGTCATTGAGAAAAGGAGGAGACTTGCCAGCAAGAGATAACAGCAATGGCCTCAGCCACAGTGGGGGCATCGAGAGGCGGCCGTTGGAGAAGAAGGGCGCCGGGAGGGCGGCCGTTCATGACAGACATATGGTCAGCGAGTGGTCGGCCTTGGTACTCGGCGACTGGGATGGTTTCAGTGAACATGGTCGAGTTGCCAAACTTCTTGGGCAGGCCGAGCTCGTGGTCGTCAGTGAGAGGCTGTGTATCCGAGTCAGTATCGGTCTGGGACCGAGCTCGGGCATTTGCAGAAGGAGTCTTGACCTGTCCGAAAATGCCCAGGTAGTTGTTGGCCCGAGGAGGGTTGAAGCCGTAGAGAGCATAGCGTCTGAACATACAGCCCGTCCCGACATAAACAGGACCTTGTAGCCCATCAAGCGCTCTCATGTTACCTGTTTACGAACCCAATGTTTGGTCACGGTGATGTTCTTAGGTTATTGAGTCAGAGAGTTCCGACAACACTCACCATCGAAGAAAACGGTATTGTGATTGGCATATCGGTCAGAGGGATCGATCCCTTCGAACCTCTGCGGGAACTGAATGTAGCAAATCCGGTCGCCGCCTCGGTCCATCATAAAACACATACCTTCTTTGATAGCTTTGGAATTGTAGATGTAGTGATCACAATCCAGATTCAGAATGAAAGCACCATTTGATAAAATAGCTGAAGCCCGAACCATGGCGTTCATGGCACCAGCTTTCTTGTTGTGGTCGTAGCCAGGGCGTTTCTCACGCGAAACATACGCGAACATCGGCACACGGATATCCACATCCGTGAAGTCGAGCCCGCCCTCGTTCGGTCCACCCATCACCGGGTCGAGCTCAGGCACTTTGCTCATTATCTGCAAATATCAGGTTCAGTCTTTTGAGAGGTTACTTAGATAGAAACCCGATAAACCATTGACTGATAGTCTGATAGTGAAAAAGATTGTGTGTGTATATATACCTGCAAGATTCCGGCATGATCGCCCTTGGAATGATCAGCCGTGGGACTGAACCAGGTGCCAGGCCAATGCGTGCCATCAGCCATCCAAGTGGCTGGAGTCAGCTGAATGCCGTCTGGTGGCAATACGCCGCCGTGTTTCTCACGGGCCATCCGTTTTTCCTTGAGCTCTTCTTTCGAGTTGAACTGTTCGGCTCTCTTTTTTATTTGCTCAGGTAGACCATTGATCCTTACCTTGAATTCGTCGTACTCACGTTTGATCCAACGCCTGTCTTTGACAAAGTCTGGCTTTTTCTTGTTCTTTGTCGGGTCCCTTTTCAGGCTGAAGTAACTGTCCGGGTTCCTCGGCTCTATGTCATGTTTTCTGCAGAATGGAACCCAAACCTGCAACAGAGCAAACAATGTTCCAAACCCAAATCGAATCAAACTCTCTTGCACTACTTAATCGGATCAAGCATCGAGTCAAGAGGGAGACAAAGGAAAAAACGAAAACCTCAGCGAAGCGAACTGCCTCAGCCATTGCTTCGAAAGTGAGAATGGCACCACCGTCGTCTGAGATGTAAGCAGAAAGCTTCTCGATAGGATAGTCCACGGCCAGAATCGAGAGGATGGTGTTTGCAGTGACAAGCGGAGGCTCTTTCTCTGGGTCGGCTGTGGATACAAAAACGTCGACGCCGGGCAAATCGGATCGGCCGGTGGGATTGGCCGGAGACGGCTGCTCAAACTTGTCGTGCAAGGCAGCGAGATCGGCCGCTCTGTTTATAGGGTTTAGCTTCGGAAGGATGTCGAGAATCCAAGAAAAAGCGAACCAAATCTCGCAGACAATGGATAGTCCCCATAGCCACATCGCGTCTTCGTTAGGGTTCCGAACTCGCCACCCGAGGAAGAAGCAGAGTACCACCAGACGGATTAAAATCAGTAACCTGAACCAAAAACAGGGGAAGAGGGGGTGTTACGACCGTTTTTGAAGTTTCGAGGTGAAATTGAAAGAGATGAAAACTTTTGGGGCTGAAATGGAAGCATTTACCTGTACGGACTGAGCACTTGGGCGGGGACCTTGACCTTCCTCGTGAGGGGCTTCCATGGCTTGTCGAAGAAATCCGACATGCTCACGCCGCTGTCGTAAGCGTTCTCGTCTTCCGACCAAAACGCATTTCCGATTCCGTACTTTCCTTTGGATTCGAACAGCCATCGATTGTGATCGAAATCTCCGGTCTGGCTTCTGAGAAGCATAGATTTGTTGTTCGATTTCATCACCGATAATCTCCTCTCGAGCTTATTCCCCATCACGGGCCCGTCGCCGCCAACACCGCCGCTATGACCGGAGTCGGAGCCGAACCGCGTCTGTTGGTATGGGCCAGAGGCGTCGGGTTTGGCCTCCGACGTGGAACCGGCGGGTTGGTTGTCGGGAGTGGGAGGCATGAGAACAGTGTAGTTGATGTAGTCGTTTGGGCCGGAAAAGTCGCCGGAGACATCGATGTCATCGTCGCGGGAGAGGCTGACGATGCGACCACTGGATGTCCGACGGGCGAATTTCACGGCCTGAGGTGGCCGACTCACGGATGATGACTGTGACTGTAGGCCTTTCTTTGTCGGACTCGATTCCATTATACCTTTTGATTTATTTTTTTTTGGTATCTATTTTTTTTTTTGCTTCCTCAGCAAGAAACCGAATCCATGACGAGTTTGAGAAACTGAAGGAAACCTGGGAAATGTGAAAAGGTTGATGATGAGAGAAGAAAAAAAAAGATTTTTTTTTTTTTTATTAAAATTCGATGGTTTAAAGACCTTTTTCTATTTTAGGAAAATTGTGCAAAATCTTTGAATTTGGGATCTCCTTGCTTTAAGCTTTGCCCCTCTCTCAGCTAGAAGTTGCAAAACCAATTAGTTAATATAGTTATATCCTTTTTTTGACCTTTGAAGCTCTCTTCTTTTAATTCCTAAATTGAAAACAAACCCATACATCTTGGGTTCATATGTATATTTCGCTTCGATTTCTCCAAAACTCTACATTTTCTTGGTGCAGGGTTATCAATTAACCAATAAATTTGGCTGAATTGATATCCTACACTAGCATTCAAAAAAAAAAAAACAAACATTTGAGAAGATTCATTTTCCATTTCTCCAAATCTTTTTTAGGGTATAGAAAACGCTCTCTGCTTCAAAGAAAAAATTGAAAAAATCCCAAATAATTTCAGGCCAACATAAACTTCATAAAATGGTAAAGCAAGAAATCTAAAAGTGAACTCCTCACACAGAGCCTAAGTATTTAAAAGCATTCACAAGTTTTCAATCCCTTTCAAACATCAGTCGGATACCGGAAATATAGCAAATGTTGTACACGCATATATTCATATATATATGACCTATACAAAACCCAATTCAGGACGTACAATCTAGCAAGAAACAAGAAATGAGGATAGCGCAAAAAGAGCAGCATGATTTACCGAGAAGGTCCCCCCCGGTCAAGTTGGAAGTGAAGAACCGTAATAACCCGAGGAAGTTTCGGATTAAGTACACTTGAAGCCATGGCAAACCGACAGCACGATTATGAGAATCAAAGCGATGATGATGCCGAGGACTATGAGTTTTATCTTCATGTTCTGAAGCCACATCTTTCTCCTCATCTTAGTTCCTTGTGTTCTGAAATCTTGCGCCTGTACCAATTCGAATTTATTGGAACATGATAAACAACTGAGATGAGCATATCGAAATGCCAATGCACAATTTACGTAAGACACCAACCTGTGAGCGAAGATTCTCAGTTTTGTCCACCAAAAGCTCGATTTTCTCGCCACGATCCAGAACCTGAAAACGAGTGATTTCCATGAGATAAACACACATGAACGGTAAATACACGGCAGACACGGGCGGATTATGATTATATGCCAACAAAATAAATCGTTGCTTTCTAACCTTCTCAATGTTTTCCATCATTACGCCCTTAACTTCAGACACTTGAGCCTTAACCTTTGCAAGCTTGCTGATCTCTTCAGGATGATCCATGCAATACTGCATGTGCTCTTTCAGTTTAGAGCTTCAGGCAAGCAAATGGGTCAACAATCTAATCCAGGAAACGGGAAGGAGAAAACTCTCAACAGCTAGCAACAGAAGAGGTCAAAGAATTACCCAAACTCTTTATTCAAGCTGTTTGCTTGAGCAGTTGCAGCCTTCCCTCCACCATATCTCTTGTTAAAATCTTCCTTAACTCGTTCCAAAAAGGCCATCGGAATCTGCCTCCCAACAGAGTCGGCTGCAACAACACAATAGGCTGCAGAAGAAGAAAAAGGTTGAGTACTGCTTACAATTCCGAACCGACCAAGAAAAGCAGAACACTTTCCAGCATAATCAGGTGGCATGGGATGAAGAGGAACATCAGGTTGGCTGTTGCAAATCCTCAGCAAAAACCCACCCGAAATCCAATCACGTATATAGTAATCAAAGCAGAAGAAAAACCAGAAGGTAATCGTTTCCAGCAAAACATCTCAAAGTTTCCGACTGCCTCTCACAACAGTCAGATCAGACCCGTTATTAAATGATCATCAAACCCGCTAAAACCTTGAAATGTTATCCATGAACTGGCCAATCATAGTAAAGCAACCAGTTAAGAAGACAGATCCAGATCAAGATCTCAGTTTTCTTCCAATGGTTAGAGATATCTACTCAGATTTGTACACATGGACAGATAGACCCGGAAACTCAACTCACACAAACCGTATGAGAAATCAGAGACACATACAAATAGATCGAAACAAGGCGAAGAAAATCATAGCTAAATCGAAGCATAAGTCCGAATCAGGCGGAGACTCACTGAATCCATTATCGACAAGGTAATTGAAGGTGTGGCCGTCGCAGTTGTAGGTGAACTTGTTGTTCGACGATGGAAGCTTCTGGAGACACTGCGCAGCGATGGAGGTGAAATTACCTTTGAACTCCGTGTATTCCGCGAGGATCACCGTTCCGCGAGCGACGAAGCTGTAGATCAACGATTGCTGTGCCATTTTCTTCGCTTCAACCCCGACGAAAACCCTAACGCCGAAATCGAATCAGACTGATTGATCGATCGAATAATCGACCAACCAGAGATATTTTTCTTGGGCACGGAGCCGCAGATCTGGATTCACACGAACGAGGCGAGGACTAAATGGAGAGAGAGAGGGAGCAACCGCGGCGATCGAAGAAAAAGGCTTCGAGGTACAGCAAAGGTTTGCGTAATTGGGTAAACATTTCATTATTAAACATAAACAGGTACGTCATTTATACAGAGAAAAATACAAAGTAATTTAATTTTTTTTGTATATTATAAATACGATTAAACTTGCTGCATATATACACAGAAAAAAAAAAGATAAGATGAGAAATCAAAAGAATTCAAACATTAAAAATGACGGACCAAAACTTTTGATTCACTGTGTATCAACATTAATTAACCTCATAAAACAAAAATGCAAGCATCGAATTCCACGTGTAATCATCCCACAGCTTGTCTACGACCAATCAATTCAAAAGGTATAGGGATTCTTTTGATTCATTGTGTATCAATATTGAACAGAATTAAAAACCCTTTGATGCGATCTCCAAGTTCATTACTGTGCAATTATTGTATATATATATATATATATATATAATCAAAATAGCAAAGTTGTCTAACTCTTCCTTCACTTGACTGAAGCAACAACATGTGATGATGGCGTGAAGATGAGTAGATGACTTGTGTCATCAGGTCGATCTGTCACTTGGTGTTGTGCGTCGGAACACTGAGGTAGAACTTTGTGTTCATGAAGTCGTCTAGTAAGGGATTGTATCCGTCCCTTGTTCTCGTCTTCGATGGCAACCCAAACTCCTCCATGAACGCTGATGTATCCAGCTTCATTCCAAACCACAACAACAACATGATCATTTTGATAGATCTTTCTTCCGTTTCATTCCGAAACAAAAAGTTTTCAGACAAGATCACAATCTTACCGTGAGGGTTCTCCTCCTCTTCCCTTTTTTCGATGATTTGCCGTCTTTCTCCATCTTTGACCAGCCTGAACAATAATGGTCCATCCGTTCCAACAGCCAGAAATTTGTCGGAAAAAATATGTCAGCATCACCCTGCAAAAGTCACACCAAAAAAATAATGAAAAGGGTGCCTGCCTATATGAAAAGCAAGCTATGAACAATCATGGGTCCATGATACAGTGGACCAGAAGGTAAGAAGGACGTTTAAGATATGTCTCACCTTAGCTTCCAAATAACTCTTGTAATCCGAGCTACGGCCATCTTTCTGCAGATCAAAACAAAACAATGATAGGTGGAAACAGAAATTACATTCAAGGTTGTACCGATATATGATTAAATATTCTTCAAGTCTCCTCATTGCAAAGGACATCTACAGCTATCAGAGATGGAGGAAAAGACTATCCTCTTTCCAACCGTATTCGTGTTGCTTGGATGTCAATTCCTAACTGTGGTATATAGTTAATTACTTTTCACTGGCCACATTTGTACATGCAAACAAGCATGGACATTAATATCCAGATTGCATATCGCCGTGGAATCAGCTATGATGGTGTCAATGCATAGTACCGGAAAAATACGAGAACAAACCTTAGTCGAGACTAATGGGGCCCTTTCACCAGGCACTTTCACATCGGGCAGGTAGCTAAAGTCGGAGGCTATCAGTGACATCTTTGGCAGTTTTTCATGTAAAACCTCTAGCAGTTTCTGGAATTTCCAAAGTTAGAAGCATTTGAATGAGAGAGAGATTATGAAATCTGGACGCTGTTTTTTACTTACCAAACAACCCGTAGGAAGCCAACTACGTCTAGGTTTGGGAAATATTTTAGACCAAATGTTTTTCGCCAATGAGGGAGGTCCATCTTCAAGTTCGACCATTTCAATGCAGCGCTTGACCAGTGGATCATCCAAAGGCTTGTACAGTTCAGTGAGTGTTTCGCTGCAATTTAAAAGAAATCTAGATGGGTAAGGCAGAAATGTGAAAATTAATCTGCAAAAAAAATGTCAGTCAGGAAGCTCTTTATACCTGCCTGGTTTCTTTTCAACCCAGACTTCCATCCATGGAGAAACTTGATTTTCGGAATACACAAGATCATGTGGAAGATTATCTAGCACCTGTAAGAGAATAACATGGTCTTAATACTGGATACAAGAAACCAAAAACAGTGAAATCTCTGAACAACTCACCCACAAAAAGGTACTCCAACTACTTAATACACACCTCTAGCATAATTACCCAGCATGGTTGTTGCTCTAAATCCCCTGTTTGAAAACAATATATTAGCTCAGAAGAAGTATTTTACAATCATAAAACTGAAAGTGTTCCATGAAAACTTGGCAGTTTAGTTTACAAACATGTGAAAGCAACAAAGTTTCCTAGTTTCAGAATTTCAGATCTGGAAATACATTCTCCTCTTCCAAATAGAGACCAATTTAGCCAGCCACCAAGTCTGGTATTAATAGCACAATGCTTTTGCTAGAGACAATTAATTCCATTCTTCTGCCCAATCCAGATTTTTATCTTTTTCCACCAAACAACTTATATCCAGCATAGTTGCAGAAAAGACAAAATCCCAAAGGAAGTGACAAAGAGAATTTGCATTGCGATGAAACAAGAATATCCTCACCCCATCCAGCACGATCAGATGCATCACGACGCT